AGTTTCGTTCGATAACGAGAAGCTTGCATTTTTCCTTTTGCAAAGTCTGAAAAGTAGTAATGGTCAAGGAAATCCGACGACGAGGGATTTTTCACGATCCTTCGACGATCGAAACTTTATTCCTTTAGCTTTATTGTCGATGGGACAAGGGTAAACAGTCAGCAGTATATTTAAAATAATTTAAAATAAATTAATTCTTTGTCTGCAAAAGATTGATCCTTCGATGAACTTCGAAACTTTATTGCTAAGAAATACAAAATCTTGCACAAAGCATAACAGACGAGCATCGATATTAAAAATATTAAATTAATCCTTTATCTGATTAATCCTTCGAAACTAAGAGCTTTGAACGAGTCACAATGGAACAAGGACGAATAAATTAACCCTTTGTCCCCAAAAAATCCTTCGATGGTGGAAACATGGGTGAACAGTCAGAAGTATATCGCGAAATAAGTTAACCCTTCGAAAGGGCTCGAAATACACGGGGTTTCTGTCCCTTAATTCCTCGCTCCGTTTATTGTTCATCGTGCTGCAACCCCGTTCACGACGACCCCCACTCGAGCCGCAGGTGACTAGGATCCAGCTCCTAGGATCCTACCCCACCGCGTCATCTGGTGACCGGTTGAAGACGGAGAAGAACCCACCGTGGGAAGAACGAGGCGGCCAAGTATTGTCTCCAATAACGCTGAGAGACGCCGCGTGCTGGACAAAATTAAATAATAATTGACTTTGCAGAAGAGCCTTCTTTGACCCGCGAAATTTTCCTCGAAATTTCCACCAAATATTCATCGGATTCATCGCGATTCTCGTCTTCCCTTTGCACTCGTATTTAAGAACAATCAAGCAAGAAGAATCATTGGAACGTAATTATATCACCGATTATTGTAAATATACAATAAAATGCGAACAGTTAACACTTGTAAAATCTTGTGCTCGACGAAATTGCATTGAGAATTAATTGAGATTAAGACTAACGTCACACACTTGATATCGCTTCTTTCTTTCTTTCTTTAAAGCCAGCCATCGTCGTGATCATCGATCGTTCATCTTATCTCGAAAATTGTTGCACGAAAATTTTCGAGCGGAGGAATGCCCCCCACCTTTCAACACCTTGCGCAGACAGGTTCGCCGCAGCTGGGCAAGAAAGTTTCGACGCGGCACTGTTCGCTGGGGGTCGCCTATGGGAAAATCCTCCGCCTAACCATTTCCTAACGCGGCCGAGCACAGCTGTTTCGATGATGATGTTTCTAGCTTCATGCAAATCGCGACCCCTCCTTGCACTTTTTTTCTCGAATCCAACGTCGAAGATGGAGGCGAGAAAACACGCGTGAGAGAATATATATCTACTCGGTCGGTTGTATGCAAATGTGGATATCCCATAAACCGATTCTATTTCTTCTTGCCGAGTAATTATTCGCGTTTATAATACACACGTTTGACAGTTATTCGAGAATTATCGCTTCATTCTTGCCAGCGTGAGAGCAGATTCAAACATTTTCCAAGAATAATTTCCTACGTTTCGTGCGTAAAAGCGCACGCGATTCGTGTTTTTGTGGTAATTCGGATGATCCACGAATTGCATGAGAAACCTGTGCAAATGTTCGTTTAGTTCGAGAAAGGATCTTGAATGGGGAGATGGATTTTCCTTGAACGGATTCGAAGCGATTCTCCTTGCTTTCTAAAGTTTTCAAAGGGTGGTCGAGGATTTTCCACGCGAGTGGAACAGGCGAAATCTCGAGCGCTCGATCTCAGCCTCGTCGTGTTCCAGCTCTATGCAAATGAGGCGCCCGTATTTACGTTTCCTCTCTCGCACCCCATAAATTACCGGGCGTGGAACAAGGTTTGATGGGACGATGACCGTTCCGACGCTGCAACGCTGTAGCATCGCGTGTTCCGGAAAATACGCTTTCGACGGATACCACGTGTCGTGCGCTGCGGCGGATCGGGTACTTTCGTTCGACTTCGGTGATGATTCGGGCGAAAGAGAAATCGTTGGAATCGTGTGAATTGCAAACCGATGTTGTCGAGTAATTCGAGGTTTTCGATCGATTTGATGGTAAAACGATCGAAGCGAAATAGGAAACGAAAGGGAATAGAAGAGAAGAGAGAAGGGTTCGATAACGAACTGCAAACGATTCCAATGCTGCCGAATAATTTGAGGTTTTCGTTTAATTTGATGATGAAGCAATCGATGCAAAGAAAAAAAGAATAGAAAGGAAAAGGGTTCGTCATTCGGTAGAGTTTCATTGGAATAATTCGTGGTTTTCGATGCAATCGACGTGAAATAGGAAAGGAAAAAGAATAGAAAGGAAAAGGGTTCGTCATTCGGCAGAGTATCGTTGAAATACGTGTGAATCGCGAACGATTTCGATGCTGTCGAATAATTCGAGGTTTTCGACGCAATCGACGTGAAATAGGAAACGAAATAGGAAAAGAATAGAAGGGAAAAGGGTTCGGTAGAGTTAGAATACGTGTGATTCTGTTGAATAATAAAATATAAGCGTGAAAAAAGATTTATGCGAGAATAAAAACAAAAGAGACGGAAGATAATTAGCCAGAAAATTTCGTTAATTCCAATTTAAATATTCAATAAAAAGTCTCGAGAACTTATCTCATTCGATTCTCCTTTTCGAATAAAAATACCGAATTAAAAAAATTTTTCATTTATTCACTTCTATCAACCTCTCGTAGAAATCGATCGATCGTACAATAACCCTTTTTCTTTCAAAGAAAAAAGGAAAAACACTTCGACTTGTTGACGTTTTCGCCGAGAGCTCGTTGGAAGCTTAAAACGAAGATTCGATCTCGCGAGAAGGGGGGCCTTGAAATAAATTCACTCGACGCCTAAAACGGCCTCGATTTGAATCGAGGGAGGATAGAGAATCGCGACAAATGAAATATCGAAGCGAGGAAGGGATAAGTTAGGGCGCGGAGTTATTATTTTCGTTTGTTGGTCGGCGCCGCGAGAGAGAAATCGCTATAAATACGTTTCTTCTTGCGAGTAGCGAGCACGAGCGGGCAGGCAAGAAGGATTTCCGGGGCGATACTTTAAACGGGAAAGCAGAAAAGGTGGCATCCTAATTCCGAGTTACGATCGCGTTCCCCCGGGGCCGTAACGGTGAACGATCGTCCATTTGAATCGTCCGCGTCGCGATTTATTGCCCCTCGCTCCCGGTTCTACGTCATGCCGTTTTCTTTCCAAGGGACGTGTCCCTGTAATTGGCCGGGTTGTTGCCGAGTTTCTTCCATTTTCTTCCTCTCCGAGAGGTGAGCTCGGATAAAGCGAAGCGCCTTTGTGATAAATATGGATCGAGGATACGGCCGATGATCTATTGCTTTTCCTTTTTTTTTTTTTTGCTTTCACCTCTCTTCGACGTGTTGCGAAATTGAATGTGGCCGAGAATCTTTGCTGGTAAATACGATTTTTGCGTGTGCTTTTTTCATCTTTGTTGCGAAATTGAACAAGGCGAAGCGCCTTTGCGATGAGCGTGGATCGAGAATGTACTATACTTTTCTTTTTTCTTTCACCTTTTTTTGACGAATTGTGAAATTAAATAAGGTGAAGCACCTTTGTGATGAATATGCATCGAGAATGTGGTGAATAATCGTAAAGTAACTTTGACGAGTTGCGAAATTGAATATGGCGAAGAATTTTTCTGACAAATATTCGAGGATTTTGCGTGTGCTTTTTTCATCTTTGTTGCGAAATTGAACAAAGGCGAAGCGCCTTTGCGATGAACGTGGGAGAATGTGGCGGATAATTTATGTCTTTCTTGTTTCTTTCATCAGTTGCGAAATTGAATAAGGTGAAAAATTTTTGTGATAAATACGATTCAAGGAATTTGGCGTTTTTGATCTTTGTTGCGAAATTGAATAATTTGGTGAAGCATCTTTGTGATGAATATGCATCGAGAATGTGATCTGTAACTTCCTTTTTTCTTTCATTTTTCTTTGACGAAGAATGCAATTGAAAAATTTTTATGACAAATATGATTGTGCGTGTGCTTTTTTGATCCTTGTTGAATATACATCTTTGTGATAAATATGGCGCGTAATCTACGAATCTCTTTTTTTATTGACCTAAAATAAAGAGTTTTTACGATAAATATGGATTGAAGAATATGGCGTGAAATTGAACGAGACGAAGGAGTCTCTTTGCAATTCAAAAATTTGAGTTTTACAATTTTGATTAAGTAAATCAACTTTGCGACAAATGTTTACAAATTAATGTCGTAATAAAAATATATTACAGGCAAAATCTAAGAAAATTAAGATTCGAGTCTTGCTGAACTGGTTTACGATCCCTTTCGTACACGTTGCGAACAATACAAAAATAACGCTTACGTGTAATTTTTGAGAATCGAAAGAGAAATCTCGGGGATGAAACTATCTTTCGGCAGAGCTGCTTCAATTGTTTTCGCGCGCAAACTTTTTTTTTTTCCTCTTCAAAATGTCAAACTTTTTGCTGAAAATCCACCCGATCGAGAAATATTACCTCATTCAGACACTTCTGACTCGCAATCCACATTTTCAATTGATCGATCGTATAAAAATCGCGGACTAATACGATCGGTCGTTTACAAGCGTTAAGAGTAAGAAATTTAAACCTGTTCGCGCGGGATCAGGTTCAAGAGCCAGTCCTCTATCTGTCTTCGCTCGTGTCGAAACCAGATGTTCGTTGGAGGTACGAATACCGGTCTATATAAATATTATATACCCCTTCGTATTTCTCTCCTCTAAACGCGTGCATAATGCCTGCGGCGCAAATTATCTTGCCAAACTTGTCCCTTTATCTTCCTCGATAATCGATGAAATTTCTGCCCTCTTCTTCGCCTCTCTTCGTTTGACTCCGTTTCAAGAGTTCATCGAAGGTGGTTGGAATTGGATCGGATCGATGTTATCGTTTCTCATCTCAAATTGATCTCGATTCGAATTTTAATTAATCCTAAATTAATTTTTTGGCGTTTTTGTTTATTTAATTTATTTCCTTGTTTTTTCAGGATAACACTCCGAAACAGGTGGCGGCCAATCATCAGCTAGCTGCCGCGAAAACCGTCCAGCAAATCGTTAAAAAATACTCGCTGAAAGCGCCGAAGAAAACTTATTATGAAGACAGATTCATAAGGTTTAAGTATAACGCGGAAGCGGCTAATTATCTATTGAAGAAAAGGAACGAGAATCAATTGCACAGGGATGAGATCGATGTGTTCAAACAGGTGAGATGATTCTTTGCACAATTTTCGTTCAATTGAAAAAGGAAGAAAGGTATTTTCAATATTGTTTTCTGGCTTAGGTAGGATGAAATTGAAATTTTTGAATTATACGATGGGACCTCGTTTCACTTTTCGATTAAAATTCGGTTTACAATTTTATTGGTTTGAGAAACGAAGGTCGTTCCTTTTCTTTTCTTTCTCGAAAAAAAATCGACTCTATTACTTCGTCCAATTTACTCGTCTGTTTCTTAAGAAAAAAAATAGCCTCCAAAAGAATCTAAAATTATTTCTATAGATTCGATGCGTTCGTCGTTATTACATATACGTGAAAAAATTATACAAACGAAAAATAAATATGATGTATCGAATCATCTTATAATGCCAAAATTATCATATTCACGTACACGTGGAAATGTTCGAAAAATTTGAAAAATCCCGAGAAGGGCTAAACTTCGATCAAACCTTTTGCCACGTGTACTTGGATTAATCCTATAAATTGCCATATTAAATAAATGTTCAAAAAGTTTGAAAAATCTCGAGAGGAGGTAAAAAAAGTCGTATAAACGAAAGATAAAAAGTACTTGTGTCAACATGCACTCAGATCCCATAAATTCGACTTTTAATTCGAACGAGAGCAACGCGTATTATGACGCGTTTGCTATATCAAATACACGTGGAAATGTTCAAAAAGTTTGAAAAATCTCGGGAAGAGGTAAAAAAAGAAAAAA